AGAACACGAAAATACTTTACTGTTTCCGATCTCATTTAATCTTAAGTATGCTTTGATGTTGCTGATCAAATGTGACGAATGCATATTGCTATTTTATTACCTCTAACATTTCAAATACTTTGCAGTATTTGTGGTCAACGAAGACTTAAAAATTAAACCGTAAAAGCAGTTTTACGTCAACAATTTTAAATAGAAAATAAATCACTATATTTCTATCTTCTTTTTTTGTAATCATGAACTTAATGTGCTGTTATTTCATTTCCACTTCAAATTTGAATTGTAATTTTTATTTTAAGTTAAATTCAAATAATGCAAATGGAAGAATTTGATTCGAGACCTACACTCCAGAGGATAGAAAGAAGAATAAATAGTAAGTATGTACCTGTGTTGTAGTTTCGTCTAAAGAGTTTGTCAACTGCTTCATATACAATTGAAGTCTTTGGACCGTGTTGGTGACAAATATCTGAGAATAACACATATTCTTAGGTTTATGATACCCTGGTAATTTAAATAATTTATAACTAGTGTGCAATGAAAAACTTAACATTAAAAAATATGCCATGGATATTTTATTTACTGTTGTAAGCCATGCATGTGGCCCACCTGTTAGTGAGTGGCTACCGTAGCTAGTAGACATCAGTGATGCCAAAGGCACAGCCAAGCAGCCTATCTACTAGGATAAGTCAGATACGATTATCTTACTGTATCATTTTATTTACAAAAATTCGATATTCAAAATGGTAATTTTGTTGTTAAATCTAATGTTATTCTCATTTTTGTTTGCCTTAGTCTTTAAGCAAAAGCTTATATCGGTTAATGAGCTGAAGATTAACCATTGCAATTACAATATTAGAAAGAGCTTAAGAAGACTCATTTAGGGCTTAAAGTTACGACTTTGAGGTACCTAATAAGCAAGATCAGGAATAATCGACTTTAGATCACTAAAGAATTTAGTAACGTGATAACAGGTGGGCCGTTGAATAAATACTTTACCTCTTTCTCTTGGTTCCCGCTATTGCTCCAAACTCTATTTATCCATTTCTTTGGGTCGAAATCATCCTCGGCGAATGTTTTTAATTCCTGTAACGTATAGTGGTTAAGCAAATATTGAACGAATGAAATAATTTATTTATTAACTTTGATTATATACAAACCATCGTTTATTTGTGATCGCAGATTAATATATTGTTAAGTTATTATTTTTTAACAATAAAGTTTAAAATACGTGGGTACCTATAGTCGGATTTTTTATTAGACGAAGTAAACTGACGTTTACTGTGTTGTCAGTTTTTGATGAAATAAAAATAGTGTTGTGACAAAGTGAACGATTGAAAAAACTCCTGAATTAATGAAATTGCCTTGATTGTCTAGTGAATAGTTAGTGTGCCGAACTGCCGATATCGGGCACGGGGTTCGAATTTTAGCCGTGCTTTGTACATACCAGCGAGTTTTCGACGAAACATTATGTTCCTATGGTATCTACCTTGTAAGACTGTCCTATTTCCAATGCATCATATAGTTGAAACTATAGATGTATAAAATATAAGAATTATAGGTACATAGGTAATGAAAATTAAAAAAACTGATTGTAGTTACATACTACTAGTAACATATTATTATATTGGATCACTTTAATACAATTTTATTGTAAAATATAAATAATATTCTTTTATAGTTTGAAATTAATGATTAACTCTTCACACTCATTGTTCATTTATGTGATTGAACGAGAACTGAACGCATCACTATTACTTTAAATATAGCAACATTATTTCACAAAGNATACAATTTTATTGTAAAATATAAATAATATTCTTTTATAGTTTGAAATTAATGATTAACTCTTCACACTCATTGTTCATTTATGTGATTGAACGAGAACTGAACGCATCACTATTACTTTAAATATAGCAACATTATTTCACAAAGTGACATTAGCTACTGTCAGCTGGCTTCGTCTAATTAAAAATCCGACTATAGAGGTAGGTACATACCATAAACAAATTTTGGCTTTGGCATTTGATTAAAACAAAAAATAAAATTGACAAAGGGAATATGATCCATACGGCTAAGTATTTTAGGAGAGGCGAAAACCACAATAGTTAACTGGAAAGTAAAAACTACAAAAAATAATAAAAACAGTTCGATACTCGCGTTTTTGCAAAAAATTGTAAACATAATATGTTCTTTAATAAACAAGAAAAAATTGGTTTCAGGAAATTCGATTGGTATGAAAGATACAAAACTTCGTTAAATGTGCACTTTCTAAATTGCGGAACGACCGTGAATTGAGTATTTGATAGAATGAGTAAACCGTAACTTTTATTTTCCGATTTATTGAGATCTGTATTGTAGGTAGGACAATGACGTCAATATTCTCAAAGCTGCGTGCATAATGTAGACGTACGCTATATATTTGCTTCGAACTAAAAGTAAAGCAGCAATACAATAGTGACGTAAATATACGCTAAATTACGCATAAAATCGTCGGCGCTAGTGGTCAGCATGTTTTAAACATCATAGCTATCACGAAGTATCTAAAATAAATTACAACATATGTACATGATCTATGAAATTTATTATTATTTAGACCATAGAGGACTTTTTGGCGGGAACGCGAGGAGTGAAGTTATGTGATTTGTTTTATTTTGTCTATTTCGTGTTTCTTCCGGTTTAAATGTGTAATAACGATGGTTTATACGTCATCTCGGATCCTCCCGATCCACTAACGGTGCTTTTAGGTACTTCAAGCACCGGTCACCGTTCTCGTCGAACCCGTCGCTTGCGACGAAGGGCTCGACGAGTAAATTAACTCTCAGACACAGCCCACTGAGTTTCTCGCCGGATCTTCTCAGTGGGTCGCGTTTCCGATCCGGTGGTAGATTCTGCGAAGCACGGCTCTTGCTAGGGTTCGTGTTAGCAACGTCATCAGGTTTGAGCCCCGTGAGCTCACCTACAAAAGTTAGGGTTACGCTGACATAGCCTCTCAAGGCTCTTCAAGGCTCAGCTTAGGTAGGAAAAAAAAAAGAAAAAAAAAAAAAAGGTGGTTTATTAACTGTTTAATATCTGTGAAAGTGCACAAATGTGGGAAAATGAAACAAAGCTGCTGGACGTAACTTCTCGGGTTCCTCCAAAAAGTCCACTGAAAAAATCTCAGTAAATGACCAGCATTTTATTGCGGTTATGTTTCATCCTGTTAAAATAGGCGAAGATCATGAGCCGTGCTGGTATAGTGTTGTTTGGTTGAGATTGATGATTACTGCATAAGTTAGTCGCACGCCGTCACCGGCTCGTATCACTCCTGTGCTATATACGTAGAAATCTGTTTTCTTTAACTATATGTTATTAAACCCAATAAAAGTCTTAAATACACGTTCCACTGTGTTTCGATTCACGCCCCAACAGGTTATGGGCCCAGAGAATCGAAAAATAAAGTGAATCATCTTAAATATAGTGATAAAAACTTTGCGTAAACAAAATATTGAAAGTCATTCTAATGAGTGTCGTTCGATTAATGTGAACTGTGAATGCAGCTACCGGCTACATGTATGTAGGTACATACTTAATGTTACATCGAGCGAGAAGATCGCCGCCGCGCCGTGCCATCTGTTTACGTTGTTAATATTATTTTCGTGTTGAAGAAACTACGAAATGACTTCTAATATTAAGATTGATCGACTAACGGGTGATAACTATGACACCTGGAAGNCTCGACGAGTAAATTAACTCTCAGACACAGCCCACTGAGTTTCTCGCCGGATCTTCTCAGTGGGTCGCGTTTCCGATCCGGTGGTAGATTCTGCGAAGCACGGCTCTTGCTAGGGTTCGTGTTAGCAACGTCATCAGGTTTGAGCCCCGTGAGCTCACCTACAAAAGTTAGGGTTACGCTGACATAGCCTCTCAAGGCTACTCAAGGCTCAGCTTAGGTAGGAAAAAAAAAAGAAAAAAAAAAAAAAGGTGGTTTATTAACTGTTTAATATCTGTGAAAGTGCACAAATGTGGGAAAATGAAACAAAGCTGCTGGACGTAACTTCTCGGGTTCCTCCAAAAAGTCCACTGAAAAAATCTCAGTAAATGACCAGCATTTTATTGCGGTTATGTTTCATCCTGTTAAAATAGGCGAAGATCATGAGCCGTGCTGGTATAGTGTTGTTTGGTTGAGATTGATGATTACTGCATAAGTTAGTCGCACGCCGTCACCGGCTCGTATCACTCCTGTGCTATATACGTAGAAATCTGTTTTCTTTAACTATATGTTATTAAACCCAATAAAAGTCTTAAATACACGTTCCACTGTGTTTCGATTCACGCCCCAACAGGTTATGGGCCCAGAGAATCGAAAAATAAAGTGAATCATCTTAAATATAGTGATAAAAACTTTGCGTAAACAAAATATTGAAAGTCATTCTAATGAGTGTCGTTCGATTAATGTGAACTGTGAATGCAGCTACCGGCTACATGTATGTAGGTACATACTTAATGTTACATCGAGCGAGAAGATCGCCGCCGCGCCGTGCCATCTGTTTACGNCTGTTAAAATAGGCGAAGATCATGAGCCGTGCTGGTATAGTGTTGTTTGGTTGAGATTGATGATTACTGCATAAGTTAGTCGCACGCCGTCACCGGCTCGTATCACTCCTGTGCTATATACGTAGAAATCTGTTTTCTTTAACTATATGTTATTAAACCCAATAAAAGTCTTAAATACACGTTCCACTGTGTTTCGATTCACGCCCCAACACATCCCATATCATTTCATTTCATTTCATTTAATCCCAGTTGATTAATGTCTCAAATTAATCATCTTCATTTCATTTCACTCCATTTTATCATTTTTCATAAAAAATAAGAATATAAATTAAAATAAGACATGACTTAAAAGTCTTAGTTACCAGGTCATAAAATCCATTTAAAAAAATTGAACCATAGATTATAAATAGACATAGATTAAACAATATTACATGTCTAACAGAAAATGGAATTGAAAATATTATGAATAGTTTGTTTTAATTTTAGTTTTTAATTGTTACCAATTGTTTTTAATGTTATGAAGCAAATTATATTGATTTTACTCAATTTAATCTAATAATTAATTGTTATGTTTAAGAGTTTTTAAGGTTAGTATGCGTAATTTTAATTTTTTCTGTCATTTGAACACTTCATTTTAAATTCGAATTACCCATTGACATTCTTAATTTTATACGATAAACGTTATTTAAATTAACTCATAAATTCGATCGAAACATCTTAAATTATTAAATAACTAGTCGTTAAGATTTCAATATAACTATTTGAAAATATCATTTATTATTTAGGTTAAAATTAAGGTGGTCAATTTAGCTATTAATGACAAGTTAGTAAATTATTGAACATGTATTTATAATTTTCTTGGGTGAATCGCACAGTGCAAATTTTATCAAAATGAAGAAACGGAGGAAACAAACCACCAGCGACAGTGAGGATGAGCTGCCTCTAACTAAACTCTGTTCAGATACGAACTCATACAAGAGCTTAACGAGGCATAGTATTGAAGTTTGTGAGTTCTGTGACAAAGTGTTTAAAAATAGGTGAGATACATTGGATACAAAGATACACACCAATCCATCAAATGGCAATCCATTTTTAGACCATTTGAAATTGATAAAATAGTAAGAAATTTTTTTAAGTTCAAATTGAGTACATCCTTAGCCATTTTTGACTTTTGTGACAAATTTCTAGTCAAAAAACAGACCAAAACTCTTTCCTTAAGTAACACAATTCTAATTGGAATGGTGACATAGTGACCTCATATCTCAGAGTTTGATTGGTTTGTGGACAATGCTTGGTCAAGCAGATGTGTTGCAGTTGCATTATTAGTGAATGTATTATCAAAAAATTAAGTAAATTATCTGTGTCATTATCAACAGCGAATATACTCTCCAAAATGAGAGTCATCATGAACCATTAAACAATTTAGTGAAGGCATATTGAAATATTTATTTTAGTTTCAATTTGGTAGAGTCATTTTCATTGTCATATTAATGTGCTCTAATGGCCAAGATAAAAAGGAAAGCGCTATTATTTTAAATGTAAACAGCCTTTAGTAGTTCTTGCAGGTAAACAAGCTTAATAATTTATGTAATTACACCTTTGAGATGTAAACAAGCCTCAAGGTGGGTTGTGACATCAAAAAGCTGTCATAGCTATAGGCTCCGATAACCCCTGCATGGGGGGCATAGGGGAACGATAGGGCCACAAGCTTATTTGTGAAGTGATAAAAAAAGCTTGGTATTAGTTAAATTGGAACCTCTGGGTCTGCGAAGGGACTTCGGTTCCCTTTGTATTTTGTACAGTATGGACCATGGGGAGTGCTGAGAAACTGTTTGAGATGATACCATCATCTCGCATTTACCATCGCCCCACTCGCCACCGGAGTAGAGTTCATCTATACTACCTAGAGCCACTGCGTTCATCGACTGTGCGTTTCCAGAGGTCTTTTTCGCCACGCACCATCCGGCTATGGAATTAGCTCCCCTCCACGGTGTTTGCTGAACGCTATGACACATCCTTCTTCAAACGAGGCTTCTGAAGAGTACTTAACGGTAGGCAGCGGCTTAACTCTGCCCCTGGCATTTCTGAAGTCCATGGGCGACGGTAACCACTCACCATCAGGTGGACCGTATGCGAGCTTGCCTACAAGGGCAATAAAAAAAAAGGATTACCCTGCTTACTTGATAAATATAAACATGAAGAATTGCATTTTTCAGATACAAAAGCATAATCCATACCATGACGCACATCACAATACCGCTAATAAAGGACTCCTTAAAGCAATGTTTGAGCTGTAAATTATATTTTCCGTCACAAGATGATCTGAAATGTCACGTGGCGAAGAAACATATCAAAATTGACTATACTAGTTTTAATGGTGGAAAAACGCCACTCCCACAATCTCAGGCATTGAGGTTAGAGAGTAATGTTAAATTGGAACCAATTTGTTTTGATAATAAGGTACGTTTTCGTTTGCTGGTAATGATTCGAACTTTGGCACTTTGTTTTACCGTTTCAGTGACACATATTTTAGTATGTTTCATTTTACAGGAACCAAACGGTGACCTACAACTCAAGAACTTAAAGCTGTTTAAAGATTTTAGCTCGTATAACTCCTTTGATCAATATAATAATGCTGTCATTAATAATACAAGAAGAAATATAAAGAGTAGAATACTTTTTGAGGTTGGTATTTCTGTTAGTGCCTTGAGTTTTCAGGAGCAGTCTCTCCAGCCTATTAGGACAGTATTATTGGAACAGCCGGCATACTAGGGTCTTGCAACTTACATTTCAGGAGTTGCATCCATGTTGTTTGGTCTATAGCAGCCTTTCCCAAAGTGGTCCATAATGCCCCCTTGCAGGCCTGATAGGGGACGGTAACATACCCAGAAAAAAACGGAGGCGTTTTGTAGAGGCCTGGAAGGTGATTTTTAATTCCATTTAGAACTCTTAGACACCAATGGAGCTCCCGTTATATTAGTTTTTAAATAGACGAAAAAATGTGGGTGCTAAAAAAATTTTTTTTCCTAAAGTGGTCACCTGACAAAATAAATTTGGGAACCCCTGGCCTATAGACTCAGGTAACCACTTAATACACAAGATCTATGATGTCATTTATGCATCTATAGAATAGAATACACATAGTTGGAACGGTTTTCTGTATGGAATATATTTTATGGGTTTGCGTTAATTAATGATTAAATGAAAAATAAAGAGTCAATAAAGCATACTAAGAAATTCATAAAATGTGAATAAATACTTTGTTTTTTTTTTTTTTTATTGCTAAGGTTTGTGGACGAGCTCATGGGCCACCTGGTGCTAAGTAGCTGCTATAGCCCATAGACATCTACAACGTAAATGCGCTACCCACCTTGAGTTATGAGTTCGAAGTCTCAGTTCAGTACAACGGCAGTCCCACCCTTCAAACCGAAACGCATTACTGCTTCACGGCAGAAATAGGCAGGGCGGTGGTACCCACCCGCGCGGACTCACAAAAGGTCCTACCACCAGTATTTACGCAAATTATAATTTTGCGGGATTGATTTTTATTACACGATGTTATTCTAGAGTCCTGAGGATATGAAACAGCTCAGGAGCATCCCTGATATTACTCATTAACAATATCATCATTGATGTACTGTCATGGGCTTCCCAAATAATTTTATGAAATTACTTTCAGGATGAAGAAATACTATCCTCGCTAGACTCAAATTACCAGGAGAACATAACATGCAAGGAGGACTTGAAAAGTAATCCTAGTACGTTTAAAAGTGTACATTATGATGAACTAATTGAATTTGGCAGATTTTACTGTAAATTTTGTAATAAAATATTGTACAGTAGGTAAGTGTGATATAATTAAAATTGCTTATACGATAAAATCTCTCGCTTATTTTATTGAATTAAAAATAGTATTTTGAATACATACTTTACTTCACTGCTATGTTTTTTTTTAATTTATTTTTTATTGCTTTAATGGGTGGACGAGCTCACAGCCCACCTGGTGTTAAGTGGATACCGGAGCCCATGGACATCTACAACGTAAATGCGCCACCCACCTTGAGATATAAGTTCTAAAGATCTCAGTATAGTTACAACGGCTGCCCCACCCTTCAAACCGAAACGCATTACTGCTTCACGGTAGAAATAGGCAGGGCGGTGGTACCTGACGCGGACTCACAAGAGGTCCACCAGTGAACTGCAACACACCGGTATGAACACCAAAGTTGTTTTTTTACTATTTAAAATTTTATTTGTCTCTTAATCTATTTAGACTAATTTAGAATAAAAGCTATTGTTTTTAAACCATTCGTGGAATTGTAATGTAATATGGTACAGATATTGTTTGCAATCCAATGATTTTTTGATATTATTACAATAAGCAAGTGGATTAGCTTATATTACTGAATCATAACCCATTTTTTAGAAATAGAGCAAAATCGCAACTATTTTGTACAGTTACTGCCTTGTTTCAAACTGGACTGACTGCTTCCCAGTAGAATTAGACTGGATGATGGGAGCTACTTGTACTTACAATAAAGTATGCTATTCGTGACTAAGATATACAAAAGTTAAACCATATTATCTCATTGCAGATATGATAAAATCCTCCACGACACAAGTCACATCTCTCTCAGTCTCGAGCCCATGAATAAGCTACACAAGTGTCTGATCTGTGAGAGATATATCACAACGACCATGAGAAAGCACATACTGGAAAAACACCAGACCACATTGAAAAAGAGACATCTAAAGAGTGTCGGCAAAAAGTGCTACATCTGCCACTTAGTGTATTATAATAAAGAAAGGCACAGAATGACGTCACACCATAAGTACCACCTCTCTCTGTCCCTGTCTAAAAAGCACAACCAAGCTGTGAAGAAGAGAATAATCATGAAGAATGAAATTACAACAATGAAACTGTGTGAATTGTGTTATGTGAGAGGGAGAAGCAAGTCTAGTGTTTTAAAAAATATATCTGAGTTGAACAAACAGTGTTGTGATAAGTGCAAGGAGGTTTTCTTTGAGGGAAAGCTGGTTAGGGTGCGCGTTGTGAAGTCTTGTTTGGAGGGAGCGGCCAGGACTAATAGGGAACACTGCAAATCGAACCAAGATCGCTTGAAGAATATACAGAATAGATTGAAAATAAAGAGTTATGTGAAATGAGTGGGATGTTTTATTTCTTTTTTTTAATACGCTTTTATTAGCTTCAGACGTATGTATGTTTGTAACGGAATGTTTGAACATGATTTTGAATCACTTCAAAACGTCGGGTTAACTCGAAATTTGGTATACTTATTAAGGACCGATGACAATACAATATTTAAAAAATATCAAATAAAAAATAAAAAAATACGCTTTTATAAAAAATCCAACTAAAAAATAGAAAATAAATTTTAATAGTGTAAGAAAGGCTATTTTTTAGCACCCCAGGCAATTTTTTTACAATAAAATCATTTCTTCTTACACTATTAAAATTTATTTTCTATTTTTTAGTTGGATTTTCTATAAAGCGTATTTTGTTAATATTTTTAAAATATTATTTATTGTTTTATTAGTGTAGAGCAGGCGAAATAACAAAGGTATTTCTTTGCATATCAATTAGGAAAAATAACCTTCTTTGCTGCAAAACTGTAATTTTTTTTTATTGCTTATATGGGTGGACGAGCTCACAGCCCACCTGGTGTTAAGTGGTTACTGGAGCCCATAGACATCTACAACGTAAATACGCCACCCACCTCGAGATATAAGTTCTAAGTTCTAAGGTATAGTTACAACGGCTGCCCCACGCTTCAAACCGAAACGCATTACTGCTTCACGGCAGAAATAGGCAGGGTGGTGGTACATACTCGCGCGGACTCACAAGAGGTCCTACCACCAGTAAAAAAGTTTCTCAAGTCAGTTGTCTCAAGTTTGAAATAAAATTAGTGAAAGCTATTGATGTTAAATCAGTAGACCTCAGTAAACACTTCATAATATGCGACATAGGAGCTGAGGAACTGGTTAGTAAGTCTATATACGGCTTGGTACCAGGAACCAAGACCACCATCACCAGGCCCTGAGCTGACATACTGCTTCTTATTCCAAAGTTTGGATAACTTCTTGGCAGTGAATAAAGTTCATGCATGCAAGTTTGAAGTCGTCGTGGCCTAAAGGATAGGACGTCCGGTGCATTCGTATGTAGCGATGCACCGGTGTTCGAATCCCGCAGGCGGGTACCAATTTTTCTAATGAAATACGTACTTAGCAAATGTTCACGATTGACTTCCACGGTAAAGGAATAACATCGTATAATAAAAATCAAACCCGCAAAATTATAATTTGCGTAATTAATGGTGGTAGGACCTCTTGTGAGTCCGCACGGGTAGGTACCACCGCCCCGCCTATTCCTGCCGTGAAGCAGTAATGCGTTTTGGTTTGAAGGGTGGGGCAGCCGTTGTAACTATACTGAGACTTTAGAACTTATATCTCAAGGTGGGTGGCGCATTTACGTTGTAGATGTCTATGGGCTCCAGTAACCACTTAACACCAGGTGGGCTGTGAGCTCGTCCACCCATATAAGCAATAAATAAAAATGCCTGGGAGGCAGTACAAAGTTCCTTTGAGCAGTTTGTTGGCTCGCATACACCTGTCTTCTTCAAGAAGGGATTTTTAAAAATTACCACTACGCGCTATTAGACATGTCTAGATTGAGTGAGTGCATATTTTGATAGATACAAATAAAAAAAAATTACTATAACTTTTTGTATATTAAAGGGAAATTTGATTATTTGAGGCCGTCAGCGCAAAAGTGGCCTAACCGTAAAATTTTTCAAATTCGTGTTTTTAGATATTTCAACTTATTTAAAACATAATAAATTTAGATGCAAAACCGGTCTGTCCCTAGTTTCACCAATCTTTTCTTTTCCTACCTGTTCTAGTAACCTCGAGGGGTTATACTAGATTCGCAGAGAAAGTATGTGAGCTCACGGGGCTCAAACCTGACGACGTTGCTAACACTGACCCTAGCAAGAGCAGTGCGTCGCAGAATCTACCACCGGATCGGAAACGCGACCCACTGAGAAGATTCGGCGAGAAACTAAAGATAAAGAGTAGGTACACTTTATTGCACCCGGAAAAAACAATTGAAATTCAAATCAGTTGTCAATCAATTACCATGTTGATATGAATTAAACGCGTTATTATATAAATGTGGCATAGATTATCATGCTCTTCGAAAAAGTTCCAATGAACAATAACCACCATTTTGCTGAGATTTTAGTATTCCTAAGAGGAAAGAACACGAAACACTTCCTACGTAAATAGTAATAAAAACAGATAGACAAGTCACGAAAAATATAAAATTTTTCAACCGTTTTTTTTTCTACCTAAGCTGATAGCCTTGAGAGGTATTTCAGCGGAACCTTAACTAGTAGGTGAGCTCACGGGGCTCAAACCTCAAACGTTGCTAACACGAACCCTAGCTTGAGCCGTGCGTCGCAGAATCTACCGCCGGATCGGAAACGCGACCCACTGAGAAGATCCAGCGACAAACTCAGTGGGTTGTGTCTGTGGGTTAATTTACTCGCCAAGCCCTTCGTCGCAAGCGACGGGTTCGACGAGAACGATGACCAGTGCTTGAGGTACCTAAAAGCACCGTTAGTGGATCGGGAGGATCCGAAATGACGTGTTTACAGCGACGTCGTCTGTTTACCATTCGGTCGCAGGATCGGGAAAGTGTCCCATAGATTACAAATGGTTTTTGTAAACATTTTTTTTGCCTACGAAGCAGCTTAGAAGCAAATTCAAACCTCATTATCTCCATGTTAACCGCGGTAAGGCCCCTTTTGCGCTGACGGCTTCATTTCGTAAGGAAATACCTATTATTAATTGAATCCAAATCTTAGATGTCAATAATTAAGGTCTGATTTCGATAACCGCGTCTAGAAAATATTTGATACTTCGACTGTGGCTTAACATAAAATTATAATTACTCTCTAGTACGGTGAGATTAATTAATTTACGTTCGCATTAAAGTGTCTCCGTCTAGAAGAAGCTCTTGCCTAAAATAGACGTACGCACTTGGCTGACCAAAGAACAACGGTGGCGTGGAGTCGAAAATGTATTGTTTCGTTTTTTGCGTGACAACGTCTTAAAAATCGAATTAAACCGGTTGCACACACGAAAATGTGTTACGTTGCGCCTGATTTTGCAAGCGAGAGGTCGGAACTAGCGATAGAGAGGCACGATCGGTTCAAGTGTTTGCTTGTGACACGTTTACCTCTCTTCTCGCGTGACGTCAGAGCTAGCAGTTTGATTAGTTCTGCTACTAACGTTATTACGTAAAATTATCGTCCGTAAACCGACTTTAGAGAGAACCAACCAATTTTTTGTTTTTAATAAAATACGTGTGACTATGGGATATCGTGAACGGCCTCAAATCCGCTACCCCGATGCCTCATAAAGACTCAAAGTACGACCACTCAGTCGAGAGGTGTGTACTTGTGTAGAGTGCAAGAATCGAAGATTTGACGGTCGCGCGTTCGGCCGTCAATGGGCGGAATCGGAATTATCTTGCAAACGTCGCTAAACAATCATCATCTTAGTCCTCGTCGAACTCTGATTAATGACAAAGAGTTCTGAGAGCTAACTAACCCATAGCCAGAACCCACTGAGTTTCTCGCCGGATCTTCTCGCGATTCCGACGCGGCGGTAGATTCAGCGAAGCACTGCTCTTGCTAGGACTAGTGTTAACAAATTCTCTCTGGTTGAGCCCGTGAGCTCACCTACACGGTCGTAGCTGGCATAGCCCTTTAGCAAAAAAGTCCTTATACTTAAAGTTGCCAATTTGAGAATGACGTTCTGAGGAATTGTTTGAGATGATACCTTCATCTCGTTTTTACCATCGCACCGCCCGCCACCGGAGTAGAATTCATCCATACTACCTGGAGCCACTGCGTTCATCCACAGTACGCTTCCATATATCTTTCTTGCCACGTACCATCCGGCTTTGGAATGAGCTCCCTCCACGGTGTTTCCCGAGCGCTATGACATGTTCTTCTTCAAACGAAGCTTGTGGAGAGTACTTAACGGTAGGCAGCGGCTTGGCTCTGCCCCTGGCATCGCTGAAGTCCATGGGCGACGGTAACCACTCACCATCAGGTGGGCCGTATGTTCGTATGCCTACAAGGACAATAAAAAAAAACGTGTTTAATGAAACTGTGGCGGGTAGTCATCATACAACGCAAGATAATTGATAGATGCCTGAATCTCGCTTACGACATTTTCAAGATAAAGCGCATATATACAAGTTCCGAACACCAACATGAGGACCGTCGGTCTACCGAGCAAAGATCACCCACCCGTTGGAAGATCTTCCTTTCGTCGTTTAAGCCTCCCAAAAAACTAAAAACATCTGGCCACTCCATGCGTTCTCTATCTCACAATGGAAAATCGAACAAAACGTGAGCAGTCTGTAACCGACTTCAAACAAAACTAACGTCTTTAACCGACGAACAAAACAAAAGCTAAAGTGCAGTGAAATGTGTTATTTGTAAATAAAGCAAAAATTTCAAGATTGGCGCGAAATAAAAAAAAAACCGTGTCTCGTGAGTTGAGTGTTGCCAATTTTGAATTGTTTCAACGGTTTCTTGATTTGTGTTTTTAATACAACACTATTTACCTAATTGAATTCGGCAAGAATCGTATTTTAATTAATTTCAAAATGAAATTCCAGTTTGTACGTTAAGTGTTATACAAGTTTTTACCGTTTCAATTGTAATTGAATCAAACAAATAGGTTAAAAAATAATTACGTGCGAAAATTTGTAACTCAATACACATCCTAACATTTCTGTGTTCCTGGTACTTCAAATACAATAATACTTTAAAATTAACCAAAAAATGACGTAATTTAATTTTTTATTGTTTTTATTATTTATTTATTAACTTTAATACCTAATTTGAACGTATTTTTCTTTAATTTAATTTAAATACATATAAATTTTGGACCTTTTCGACTTTAAAAAAATCTAGAAAAAAAAAAAACCTAAACATTTTATTATGGATTGAACAAACAAAAAAAAAGATAATTGTCTCTGTTAATTGATTGATCGTCAAACCAGGAAGCAGGCGAACGAAAGCCAATCGCGATCCTCAAAAATCTAGGCCGATAAAAATAAAATTGTATGTTGTACTTACATAATCTTGGCTACAATGCAGTCCCAAATGTCACACGGTGATCGGTGTGCCAGATAAATCCAAGACAAACAAATTAATTCATCAAATCTAACATTAGGGATTAGGGATCCGAAGGTTTGCAGGATTACTGATGGTAGGACGTCTTGTGAGTCCGCGCGGGTAGGTACCAACGCCACTATTTCTGCCGTGAAGCAGTAATGCGTTTCGGTTTGAAGGGTGGGACAGCCGTTGTAACTATACTGAGACCTTAGAACTTGTATTATCTCAAGGTATGTGGCGCATTTGCGTTGTAGATGTCCATGGGCTCCAGTAACCACTTAACACCAGGTGGGCTGCGAGCTCGTCCACACATCTAGGAAATAATAAAAACGGAGGTTTTGGGAACAAGTTTAACGCGGTCACGAAGCATTGAGACTAACTCTAATGGACTTATTAAAAAAATTTCTTTTTAAATTTCAAGATGTATCTTTGCACGATCCGTATATAATACAACATTAACATGACCCACATTAAAATTATTGGCAGGTTTTGAACTAATGAAACGCCTAATAGATATTTCATCGTCGCAGCAAATTGTAGTGACGTGTTTAATTTGGCTGTGTAGTCTGTCTAATGGATTGTACAGCTTTGGTGAAAGATTGAAAAGGTTTTCTATTACGGACAGTATTGAACATCTTTATTTTGTTATATCTACCTACTTTAGTATTTACGGGTCATTTTTAGTTTCCGTTCATTTTGATGTGAAACATCTATAGGCGCACGTAATAACCGATTTCTGGCGTGGGGACGCATGGACGTCGCCACGCTATATGATGGTATATATATACAGTCTATGTGCAGTAGTGTGTACGTTGTGGCGACGCATCGCCATGCGCAATCGACTGTGCGATTCTCTCCCACTCGATCCGGCTTTAAGCCATCTCTCTCGCTACACTGAGCTCGGATACCTATAGTGTATACTCCGTAGTGTATACAGTGTTGTTTACTACAGTGCACATAACCTGTGTTTTACTTGAAAACGAATAATTTTTTCGTAATATTTTATTTTATCATTATGACATATTTAGTTCCTATCACAATCTGTTCTTTTCTACATATTACTTTTACAAAATAATGTCGATATTTCACATCTGCCAGGCGTCCCGTGACGGCTCACATTCTTTTTTATTTTTACGTGACACACAAAGTGAGTTTCAAAAAGTTTTATGGATTATTACAATTTATTAAAATTCACGCTTTTCGAGAAATAGCATGAAAGGGTTAGCTGAAGCATAGCACATACTATTGTCTGTTTAAAGTAGATTTGTAGTCCTACAGGGAACACAATTCTTTTATTAATGAAATAATTAAAAATGATATAATTAATATCATTTCAACTTCATCGGGTGTAATTTCAACTTCATCTCATTTCGCTCTATTTATCATAAAACACAATATTTTTATAATAAATACCTAATTAATGTCGCAAGAACACTATTGCCATAATGAAAGCAAGTATGAAGAATAGAATCCCAAGTGTTGGATAATTGTAACTCGTATACAATTGAATAATGAAAGCAAAGATGAAGGATAGGATGCCAAGTGTTGGACTCGTGTGACTCATGCAAGTCTCTTTATCCCGGGAAAATGTTTTCTTATAATTTTATAAAACCTGCTTCATTATTTCTGAATTACACATTACACTTTTTTTTTTCCTGCTTATGCTGATAGCCTTGAGAGGCTATTTCAGCTTCGCCCTAACGTTTGTAGGTGAGCTCACGGGGCTCAACCGGAGAGTTGCTAACACTGACCCTAGCAAGAGCAGTGCTTCGCAGAATCTATCACCGGATCGGAAACGCGACCCACTGAGAAGATCCGGCGAGAAACTCAATGGGCTGTGTCTATGGGTTAGTTCACTCGTCGAGCCCTTCGTCGCAAGCGACGGGTTCGACGAGGACGGTTTATTTATTCTTAGCTAACTATGAATGATATCCGTTATTCAAATAAAAAAATCTAGAATAGTTTGGTAGCATGTTTATGCATATGAAATAGGTTCATGTTTCTGTCACAAGACAGTAAATATCGGCCTCAAGTCTCAAGGGTTGCGGAGGCATAGACATTATGACGTCAATGAACTTAAATAACCATCACATTAACTGGGTTTTGAGCCAGTCCGTCAATTGAGATCAGTAAAAAAAAAAATCGAAGTACCAGGATCTAATGAAAGTGAAGAGGTCAAACATTTTTAAAAGTTACATTTCGTTAGCGGACCTATGAAACTGACGAGTTTTTTGGACATTCTGTGTCGTTTTGATAATGAGCGCGCGTTCGGAGTCGGAGAGTTCTACTGACGAAGAGTTAGATTCTGGCATCGCTGACGACCGGAAGGAGGCCGACTGCATGGAGCTGTCACAGTTCTTCGGATACTGGTGAGCTTTTTATTTTTTGAAAACTAGTAATGTGAGTGTTAATTAATTCTTAATATGTTCGAAAGAGACCTTAAGAAAGCCCAATTGCCAAAACCGGCAACCCAGGACAGATCAGCCTGGCGCCGTAGAGTGAGGAGACCCGACCCCAGATAACGGGAGCAGGGACGGATAGTAGTAGTAGTAGTAGTAGTAGTAGTAATGAGTGTGCGGTGATTACTAAAAGCCACATCCGCCTTATAGGTACATCCATGTTTCTGTAGACGAAATCAATCGTTCTTGGGGTAGTGCAGTGCACGGTAGGTTCATTTCAAACAATTTACCTCCTAACACTTATGCTTCCTTGGTACATTTCTACGGTATTCTAGTATATTATTTTGAAATATTAATAAATAAATAAAAGTAGTTGTGTATGTATGTATGTTTGTGTGCTCTGTAGTCTCAACAAAGATCTCAAAGGCTGACCCGGTGGTGCAGTAATTAGCGGCCCTGAGTTTTACGCAGAGGGTCGTGGGTTCGATCCCCGCATCGAGCAAACGTTCGCGTGATGAACAGTTCTGTTTGCTGTTCGTCTGGGTGTTTATTATCTATACATATACGTATATCTTTAAATGTATATGTATATTCAAAACTTATTTAAGTATCTCTGGTGCCCTTAACACACGGAATCCTAATTTAGGGCCCGATGACCTTGCGTGAATTCTTCTTAGTTACTAAAAAACGTATTTTAAAAAAGCAGGGCTCTCGAGTTATTAAAAAAAGTAATTCACTTTACAGATTCTTTATAATGATTGTAAGAATTATACCAATGGTATCATTGAATTCGGTTTTCGCGAATCGCAGGCATAATTAAAATAGCTTTTAAAGTTTTTACTCGTTTTTATTTTTATTTTCATTATTATATATACAAGTATTATTTCAGATGCTTCGAGAATATATTACAATTTTCGTGGACGCGGTCGTCCTAATGACACGAACAAAGAAACAAATAGGTTTCCAAAAATCAATGTGAAACAGCTCTAAATTTCTTATTAAAAGTTTAAAAAGCGACTTAGTAAGTAACAAATTTATTTTTTATTGCTTAGATGGATGGACGGGCTCACGGCCCATTGACAGCTACAACTTAAATGCCGCCACCCATCTTGAGACATGAGTTCTAAGGTCTCACTTTTAATAGTACAACGGCTGCCCCGCCCTTCAAACCGAAGCGCATTACTGCTTCACGGCAGAAATAGGCAGAATGGTGGTACCTACCCGTGCGGACTCACAAGACGTCCCACCACCAGTAATTACGCAAATTGTAATTTTGCAGTTTTGATTTTTATTGCACGATTTGCATTATTCCTTCACCGTGGAAGTCAATCGTGGACATTTGTCACGTACGTATTTCTTTGAAAAAATTGGTACCCACCTGCGGGATTCGAACACCGCTACATACGAACGCACCGGACGTCTTATTCTTTAGGCCATGACGATTTAGTAAGAAGTTGGTTAAGTTAAGACACACAACTAGATATATTTAGGTACGTAGTTTTAAAACGAAATAGAAATGCGCTTTAAAAGAGAACCGTATATTTTTTAATTCAAGTTCAGTATATTAGAGCGATATTTTAGTATTATTGTATCGTCATTGATAGATACTTGAAAGTTCAAAGATTCCGTTACATACAAAGATGTCTTGGCCGTCTCCAACTATATATCTGACCCAGGCGACAGAGCAAGCCAATGCCGCCATCGCCCTAATAATCTCTTTTCGGTGGCTTTGGGTTCTCCAAGCATCCCACGTCGAACCCGTCGATTTCGACGTGAGAACTAGCCCATAGACAGAACCCACTGGGGTTCTCGCCGGATCTTCTCTGTGGGTCGCGATTCCGCTGGTAAGTAGATTCAGCGAAGCACTGCTCTTGCTTGGGCCAGTGTTAGCACTCTCTCAGATTGAGTCTGTGAGCTCACACTTACCGTGAGTATTTGGAATAACCCCATAAGCTACCAACGATTATATAGGCAAATAAAAACAAAAACTTTGTTAAGCTAATAAAAGTCAAACAAGTCAAAACAAAACAATTCTTTTTTTATATTATAATGTTTAATAAATAAAAAGTTACAAAATTTATTTAGGATATATTATTTTTCTTTATTCTACGATCTGGAACAAATCAAGTATTAATAGTAATAAATATCTGACAAAAACCCTAAGACGAATCACCTATTTATTGAAAATACAAAGGCTTCGTGTGTAGTAAAAGATAGTTTAAAATTTTCATTTCCTTAAAGATTATAATAATATTAGATATTCATCTAAAGAATTTCTGACCTAATAATGAGACCTTTAAGCCAAGATTTATATCTCCTTTTATTTTGTTTTATGAATAATGTTATGAAGCGAAATGAGATGGGAGTTGATTGGTTCGACACTATCACTACATAGTATAAAACAAAGTCGCTTTCTCTGTCCCTATGTATGCTTAAATCTTTAAAACTACGCAACGGATTTTGATGCGGTTTTTTTTAATAGATAGAGCGATTGAAGAGGAAGGTTTATATGTATAATAACATCCATTAAATAGTGGAGAAATCAATAATAAATTACAGTTTCCGAAGCGAAGCGAGGGCGGGTCGCTAGTAGGTAATAAACTGGGATGAAATTAAATGAAACTAGTAGTGATGAGATAAAATAAAGTCGTGGTTCTTTACTGAGACTTTGAGTGGACTTTTTGTAATTTAATAAGACCAATAACTCCCATTTACTTTTGCATCTGGGGAGACACTAAATTAACAAAATAAAACAATAATTCACACAACTTCGCTCGCTCTGTCTATGAGGCTTTTATCATTAATATCCTGGGTTCACTCGGAAGGAAGGAGACGGTAATTTTTATCGAAGCTAGCGAAATAGCCGATTCAAGGTATGTCAGGTTTGTAAGGGTACATTGCTGTCCATGGGCCTTGGCAACGCTCCACGATAGTGATAATCCTGAGGTGATGGGCCTATTGACTATACTAACTTCTACTGGTGGCACATACGGCGTCTTGTGAGCATTTCTGGCGCGAAACAAAGGGTGAGGTATCTATGATCTTTGATCCAAAAGAGACCTCATATCTCAAGGTGGGTGACGACATTTACGCCGTGGATGTTTATGAGCTCCGGTAACCAGTTAACACCAGGTGGGCCGTGAGCTCGTCCACCCATCTAAGCAATGAAAGAAACTTACATTAATCGCCCTTTCGGTATTATCTACGATGTGAACTCCTCCGGGATTGTCGTCAACGATGTGGACTCCTCCGGGATTATCGTCAACTACGTAGACTCCTCCGGGATTATCGTCAACCACGTAGACTCCTCCGGGATTATCGTCAACTACGTAGACTCCTCCGGGATTATCATCAACTACGTAGACTCCTCCGGGATTATTGTTGTCCACGATGTGGACTCCTCCGGGATTATCGTCCGCAACATAGACTCCACCAGGATTGTCTTGAACTCCCTGCGCGGAGTATTTTTATTCAATTTTTTAAAAATTAAAAGTAACCTAAGATTTTATTTTAGAATGAGTCCATGACGAACTATAGTCGAGAAGAATTAATATTTTTGGATGTTTGGATTTTAGATTAGCAAACGGCCCATCTGATAGTAAGCGGTTACTGGAGCGAGCACCAGTGCTGCTTTGAGACAGACTAGGCTACGCGGCCACCTCAATTGAACTATGAGACAAATTAAACTTTAATAATTTTCAAATACCAGGATCGCATAAATGTGAAGAATTAGTAGCTTAAAATTAATGTTCGCGTTTGTTTGTATGGCGATTTTATAGTGATGAGGTACTTTTAAATTAAGTTTTATTTAATAGTAATACGCAGGTAATTTTTAACGTAAAATTGAAAAATAAAAAATAATTATCTTACTTATACTCCTTATGAGTTATTTTTATTGAAGGCACATGACAATCATTCATTAGATATTTTCAAAATGGCGATAATGTTTTTTTTTATGGCTTAGATGGGTGGACGAGCTCACAGCCCACCTGATGTTAAGTGGTTACTGGAGCCCATAGACAACTACAACGTAAATGCGCCACACATCCTTGAGATATCAGTTCTAAGGTCTCAGTACAGTTACAACGCTTCAAGCCGAAGCGCGTTATTGCTTCACGGCAGAAATAGGCAGTGCGGTGGTACCTACCCGTGCGGACTCACGAAGAGGTCCTACCACCTGTAATTACGCAAATTATAATTTTGCGGGTTTGATTTTTATTACACGATGTTATTCCTTCACCGTGGAAGTAAATCGTGAACATTTGTTAAGTGCGTATTTCATTAGAAAAATTGATACCCGCCTGCGGGATTCGAACACCGGTGCATCGCTACATACGAATGCACCGGACGTCTTATCCTTTAGGCCACGACAACTTCATAGTCTTTGACAATAGAATCATAATATTGTACAAACTTAAAATTCCAATTAATTATAGTCGAATTTCTACTACCGGGTGACCACTAGTAAAGATAAATGTCGCGTGTTAAGCGAAATGTCGCTTAAACCAAATAGCTGTAACTGTAGACTATAAATGGCTCTCTTGTAAAATTGCAAAAAAATCTAAATTATTTGATTCAAAAGTTCGAAAAATTCAAAATGGATTCCGCGCGGCCTAACGGTTAAGACAGCCGGTATACAAGAATAGAGCGACGAGCGACTGTGCCGAGGTTCGAATCTCGCAGAAAGCTACAAAATTTTCAAATGAAACACGTACTTGATAAGTGTTCACGAACAACCTCCAATGACCATGAAGGAATAACATCATGTAATAAAAATTAAAGCCTCGTAAAACCTATTGTTAATCCACGCGAATAGACAACACCAACCCAACATTCCTGCCGAGAAGCCATTTTACAATTCAATTGTGTTTTATGCCTCAAGTTGAAGGATGTCTTTAACTTTTTTCTATGCAGTGTAGAGGTAAGGGGAACCGTCTCATATTGGAGGAGCATGAAAAAGTGTCCCACTTTCAGCACTAAATAACAGTTCAAAAATCCTCCAGAATGGCGCTGGCATAGGCACAGGGTATGAATGAATTGAGCAACTGATTGAAGTATGCTGAGTTAGGATCTTTAATATATTTAATGACTAGGAAGTCGTCATGGCCTAAGAGATAAGACGTCCGGTGCAATCGTGTTGAGCGATGCACCGGTGTTCAAACCCCGCAGGCGGGTATCAATTTTTCTAATGAATTACGTACTCAACAAATGTTCACGATTGACTTCCACGGTGAAGGAATAACATTGTGTAATAAAAGTGAAACCCGCAAAATTATAATTTTCGTAATTACTGGTGGTAGGACCTCTTGTGAGTCCGCGCGGGTAGGTACCACCGCCCTGCCTATTTCTGCCGTGAAGCAGTAATGCGTTTCGGTTTGAAGGGCGGGGCAGCCATTGTAACTGTGCTGGGATCTTGGAACTTATGTCTTAGGGTGGGTGGCGCATTTACGTTGTGGATATCTATGGGCTCGAGTAACCACTGAACACCAGGTCGGCTGTGAGCTCGTCTACCCAACTAAGCAATAAAAAAAAATAGAGTAGCTAGTGACAGTGTCTTAAACAAGACCTCACATGTTTACGTAGTCCAAGCTAATTTCGTCAATATAACCTAAAATTATTGCTTTGGTAAAACGCGGAGACATCGATTGCATTTTCTTATCGGCTTTAAATAAAATACTTTTTGTTATTTTGTAGTGCTTACAGTTCTTTTGTCCTTTTTTATTGCTCTATCTTTTTCTAATAACTTTCAGCGCCTTTTTTAAAATTTACCCGGTTGCTAGTTACTGTAGCGCCACCCTTATTTAGCAGATTTTAACGGACACCTTTTCACACACAGAGACGGTTCTCCTTACCTCTACCCTCCATACTTTTGTTGAACTCATAATAACCTAATACCAGACAGTGCGTGAGCCATTCGCCCTTATATTTAATATGAAAATAAACTCGCTAAACCTCGAGAACGGCTGGACCGATTTGGCTAATTTTGGTCTTGAATTAGAAGTCCAGAGAAGGTTTAAAAGATGATAAATATCAAAATTCCTTTTGTTTGTTTTAAGTTTATTTTATACAAAAGTTTAGGTCTTTTATTTATCGATTGTGGCACTACGAAGTCTGCCGGGTCAGCTAGTAATTTAAATAAAATAAACATACCGGTAAACCATCTGATCCCAGCCGTCTTTCTTCCGCCATTTTCGTTTTTTTTTAAATTATACACTGTCCACTGACCTATGCTTTGCGCAGTAATGAACAGCAAGACAGATACTTTTTTGTTATCGCTCACTGTTAACGATAAGATACAGGCTGATATACCAATAATTTCTTACGCCATAATTTATGATTTTGATTTTAACAATTTATCAAATATATGACTTAAAAATAACTACTGATAGAATGTATCTATATGTACATCTTTTGTATTAAACGAATAAATAAAATTTAAGTTTGTCTTGTTTGTTTATTGATGCTAAACAGGCAAAAGAACTTGCCAGAACTCATAGGATTAACAACGCGAATCTTTACCTATATTATAATAATCTTATTTATTCTATCTTATTTTGATAAATATATATGACTAATTATCAAAAATTTTATTGTTTTCAACCACAGAACAAATGCTGGGCTAACCGAACCTAAAAAAAGTAATAAAAAACCTAAATAATGTCAACGTTAGTCACACCATAATGCCTAGTTTGTTTTGTCATTAAAAAAAAAAGATAAGAAATCAGAAACGTACTTCTAATCCATATCGCGATAACAGTCCGATAGAAGGTATTCCCAATAATTGCTTGTAAGTAACGCAAATATTACGTAGAATTTGTTTGTTTATCAAATTTTAATTGAGCGTGCTCACGGATCATGAGATGTTAAATGATATATAGCACCGCCCATCGTTAGACGTTCAATCAAAATGTTAATAGAAACGATTGACGGCAGGAAAATATCCGTGCAGCCTTACAATTTAGACTGTGGTTCGCTATTAAAGCTATACCAGTTTATCTAAAGGTTGCAAATACCAGGTCATAAAATCCCAAAAAAAAAAATATAGCAATATGTGTCAACTTCAATTCGCGCTAAAAATTTTAAGAACTAATCTAAGAAATTAACTAGCCGATTTTATCTTTAACTATATTCTAAATACATTTGATTTTTATAAACATTAATCAATATGGAAGTGAATCTAATTTGTGACTAAATTTTAAACCTTTTAAATTTGTATTCTGTGGCTTGTGTATTTAGAAAAAAAAAAACGTACGTAATTTGACAGAACGTTGAGAGCGCGTTTGTAAGTCGCTACACAAATAACGCTTCTATTTACATACTGGACGGTAACTCGAGACGGTTACCGCCTCGCCGGCTACTGTCACTGACTGCCAGTTTCACCGTTGACCGTCGCGGCGCGCGCACTCTCCGATCACGAGAAAGTGGCGGTAAACAAACCTCAAACAAACAAAGAAAAAAAAGTGTGACCAAGCGTCCTAAAATTTGAAATTTTGTAATGTGTTCTAAATTCAGAGCTTGCGAGCGAGGCATTTGTGATTGATGTTAAATAAATTAGAAATTTACTTAGACAAATACGATCAATTAAGAACAAAAGCGAAATAAAACTTATTAATCAGATAGTTCGTGTTTAAGTTATTACGGTAATAATAATAAGAACGTGGAGATTTCATAAAATTAGACGTACTTATTTATCTGTCAATATTTTATATGAATTTTATTTAAATTCTATGTTTTATTTAAATAAATTCACATTACAATAATAAAACGCTTTGCCTGTGATACATACATGCTTTGGAATAATTTATTGAAAAATAATAAGTAAATAATGTTTTATAATCTCAATTGTGATGTTAATTGTAGTGAAAAAAATTACAAGTATGTAATTATTATGTTAATTTTTTTATTATTTAATTTTTTACAATGATTTTTGTTGATTTGTCGTAAAAGTAAAAGTTGTTGTAAAAGTTGAATTCGTTTTTACAATCGGCACGTTCATTTTTGTATGCGTACATTTCTTCAAGTAAACCACTTCTTTATAGTTCATGTTATCCTAGTACTTCTGAAACATTGACTTGCTCGTTTGAGGCGCCACTTACTGTACCGTCTGCCTGTTTGAGACAAAAAAACGACTGCTATTGCTTACAAGGTTTCGTGAGTAATAGGGTATCACTTACTGCCAGATAGGTTCCATTTTTATTTTTTCCTACTTATGCTGATAGCCTTGATAGGCTATTTCAGCTTCTCCTTGACGTGTAGGTGAGCTCACGGGGCTCAAACCGGAGGCGTTGCTAACACTGGCCCTAGCAAGAGCAGTGCTTCGCAGAATCTACCACCGGATCGGAAATGCGACCCACTGAGAAGATCCGGTGAGAAACTCAGTGGGCTGTGTCTGTGAGTTAATTTACTCACCGAGCCTTTCGTCGCAGGCGACGGGTTCGGCGAGGACGATGACCGGTGCTTGAGGTACCTAAAAACACCGTTAATGGACCGGGAGGATCCGAAATGACGTGTTTAGGGCTGGTTTCATGCATTCTGTTTGTATTCATTATTCCCAAGCTGGTCAGTGCTGGTATCACTATGTTCATGACCTTGATAGCCGCTTACCATCATACGTGATTTGATGTGACGATTTAGGACAGACTTACAGTTAAGCGGACAGCGCGCTCGTCACAACATCAATTTATCACTGACTTGTACAAAAACTGAGAGAGAGATAGAGAGAACGCTTTATTATACACAGTTTAATAAAAAAAAAAAATGCAAAACATTACATACAAAAAAGTATAATAATTGGCGGTCTTATCGCTATGAGCGATCTCTTCCAGACAACCATCAGGTGGACAAGAATCACTAGGATAAAAATTACACGCGGTGTACTTATCATTAAAATATATATTATACACACACAGCACACATACACATACATATATAAGTGTTAATTCCATACGTTGCAACGGTAAAAATATCTTAAGACCAGTTTAACATATTGAGGTCATGAGACGTATTGAAAAATGTGATTTTTTTTATGCAAATTTGATTATTCGCATGCATATTAATGTTGCAATTTGTTTTCCTTCCTTCGTGACTTAGGCAGTTGCTGTTAGCCTAATGTGAGCTCACGAACTCAGCCTGAGAGAAATTGCTAACAATAAGAGACCTAATAGGTCCGACTACCTAGGTCACGACCGACTTGCAGGGAACTCCTTATAACCTCCGCCCATTTTGAGACAACTTATAAGTTTAAATCTTCATTAAAATGGCTTGAAATTTTTACAGCAGTTCTGAATAGAGATCTGATTGTTCATTTTCTGAAATGTTTTCTGTCATCGTGCTGTTTGTAATAGCTCGGGTGTTATAGCACTTTGGTAATTCTTTTGCAGTTTTTTGGCGGGAACGAAATGTCAATTTTTTTTTTCAATCGGTAACGCAAATGAAACAATTCGTCGTACGTCTTTTTCTCTAGCTATTTCAAAATCCAGTGGAGGACGGAAGTCCGGTGATTTCCTCCAAAACAAAAAAAAATTCACCGCATCTCACCGTATTAGAATACAACTTAAAATTAATCAACTTCATATCATTTCGCTCCATATTCATTTAACAGACTACGCAGGTATGTATGTAATTTGTATATTATTTGAAAATTTTTATAAATATGATACTGGCAACAATGGCGTCGTAAGAAAACAATTGCCATACGGAAAAAATATGCTGCTTGACATACGTTTAAATAGAAAAAAGTTCATATAAAAATATGACACAAGTTAAGTTTAATGTTGAATGGAAATAAATCCTAACAATTCATATAACTGTAAATACGTAATATATATTTCTTAAGTAAAGAAGGCTCGGCGCTTGTATTTTAAACACCAATAAGTAATAATTTATTTTTTCAGCCACACTTTCTAAGATTTATGGGTTCCTGATACTTTTTTTTTGATTGGCAATTTCAATTCGTACGATTCACGCTGAAGCTTAATTTTTTGAGGGCTGCTCGGTGGTGTGGGCTAAACAACCCCCAACCCCCTAACAAAAAGCTCGCATAAAGTCGTACTTTAAATGTATCATCGCAACGAAGTCTATTGAAGCTTCTCTGTTTGACGTCAAAGATCTCAGCTATTCATGGATCGGAAATAATATTGACGGATAGCCTCGGTGTAGTGCCGTAATAAAAGACAAATTTAACTTCTTTACTGTTATGAGATCCGCATAGTGCGTTTCGTTTTGAGGTCGCCGTGGCCTAGCCGATCCTGTGGACCGCATGGTAAACAGTCGATGTTGCCCTAAGCACGTCATTACAGATCCTCCCGATCCATTAAACAGTGCTTTTAGGTACCTCAAGCACCGGTCACCGTCCTCGCCGAACCTGTCGCTCACGACGAAGGGCTCGACGAGTAAATTAGCCCACAGACACAGCCCACTGAGTTTCTCGCCGGATCTTCTCAGTGGGTCGCGTTTCCGATCTGGTGGTAGATTCTGCGAAGCACTGCTCTTGCTAGGACCAGTGTTAGCAACACTTCCGGCTTGAACCCTGTGAGCTCACCTACTATTTAAGGTTACGCTGAAATAGCCTCTCAAGTCTATCAGCATAGGTAGAAGAAAAAAGGTCGCCGTGGACTAATTGGTAGGACGGCTGACGCATTCGTGTGTAGCCATGCACCGGTGTTCGAATCCCGCAGGCGGGTACCAATTTTTCCAATGAAATACGTATGTGATAAATGTCCACAATTGATTTCCACGGTGAAGGAATAACTTCGTGTAATAAAAATTAAACCCTCTATAAAATTGTTATCTGCGTAATTGCTGGTAGTAGGACGTGAGTCCGCCACCCTGCCTATTTCTGCCGTGAAGCAGTAATGCGTTTCGGTATGCTCCGGTAACCACTTAACACCAGGTGGGCCGTGAGCGCGTCCACCCATCAAGGAAAAAAAATAAAAAAATATACATATAACAGAATCCAGTTTTTGATAGTTGGTAACATGATATTCTAAATATAGAGTTCGTATAACGGTACGCGGCGAAGTGACATTGTGAATCGATTATTCAAAATATCGATGACTGACAGACGAGTAGACTGGATTAAAACTGGAATCCAAAATGATTTATAACATAAAATCGATATTTGACGTACGAGTAATAGCTTTTAATCGATAAAAATTGTTTACGTGTGGAGTTTGAAGCCACAAACAAAC